CCGTGTTCCACGGGAGTGAGTTCGTTACTGCCCGTGACGAACCGGCGGACGTACTCGAGGTAGTACGCGTACAATCCATGACCATACCCCTCGAGCTCGTCGATGTTGTCCATGCCAACTACCCAAGTGAAAAATATCTTTTCCATAGCCTCAAAGTCCTGGAGGCTCAGATATTCAATGGATGGTGCACTTGAGCCAAAATGGACTTCGGACGACATGCCCTTTCCATTTCCCTTCGCTGGACAATCTCGCACAAGATGATCGGAACTACCACATTCATGGCATTTGAGAACCTGGCCGTCTCTACCTCGCGGGTTTCCCCGCCTTCCTTTACCTTTACCTGAGGTCTCTCTACGGCCTTTACCACGGCCTTTTCCCCCAAAGAATATCTCATCATGTTGTTCATCTGAGAGCCTCTGGAGAAATGCCGCGACACCTCGCCCGTTCAACCTCCGACGACCACGCTTGCCTTTACCCTTTCCTTTTAAACTTCTGCGTATCCTCCTTCTAACACGACGCACTGGTTTTCGTGTGAACCTCCTCCACCTTCGTTTGGCCTGTTGTAACAGCCAGAATAAATGCTCAGCACGCTGATTGTCGTTATCCATATTCATGATATCTGACCAATCTAGAGCTTCAACACCATCTGATGATATAGTGTCTGCATCGGTGCCGGAGTCGAAGTCTTCGTCTCCTAAATAGGTGGATACACCGTCGGTTAGGGGATTTGATTCCCCCCATAACGAGCGGTGTGGTTGTGGTTCTCTTGAAGGAGGGCTGGTTGCCCAGCTTGGTTGTGATCGATCCCCTGCTAATAAAGCAGTGGATTCTCCTGGGTCATCGGCCCATATGTTTGAGGGCCCGTTTCCAGGCTGGGCTTCAATAGTCAAGGTAGTGTAGAAATTTCCACTACCAGATCCCCTTCCCCTTCCAAACACAGATCCTATGTTACCAGGAGACCGTTCGGATAGGTGGCCTATCGAACGCTGTTGTTGTGTTCGAGGCATTTGGTGGTTGAGTGGCTGTAAGAGTTGCATGGCTTTCTGGTTGCCGACGCCTAAGGCGCGGAATAGGATAGTGGTTAGCAGTTGGAAGTTAGGAAGGTCGAATCCCACCGACTGTGCCTCAAGTCGGGCCATTTCGAATCGGGTAAGAGTGACATCGATTCGTTCCCCGTGAGGCAAATGGAAGTCGATGAGTTGCGTGCCGGAAGTGAGCTGTCGCTCATCTTCCAGGCGTTCGAACTTCATGCTGAGGAGGAACATGATGTAAGTTACTGGGTCTGTGTGGACCCCATCAATGTCAGCACCATAGTTTATAATGTCAGGCGGTACCCTCATGGCGAGTGTCCTCGCTAGGCCTCCCAGGCCGCGTTGTATTGCGGCCGCTTGGGCATGTGGCGTCATACGTCCGCTTGTAACGTTGAGCCACGCGTTGACCTCGTAAATGTACTCACGAAAAGGTACATTACCCTGAGGGTCCCAATATGGGCCATGCGTTTGCCCATCGGTGCTGTTATCTCCCCGACGCATGTGTGCGATTGCTGCCCCCAGCGCGAACCATATGATAGCAAAAACGATTAGCCCGAGAATGTGTAACGAAGGACGGTTATGATGAGCGGTGTCGCGCTGGGGTAGCGCCTTGTCGAGTCTTCGAGGCGCTCTGTCTGGCGGGTCTCCCCGCCCTTGCTTCAAGTATTGCGCTGTTAGCTCGTTGCCGAGCGGTTGGTAGTAACGCAATGATGAAGCGTATATGGTACCAGTTTGGTCGTCTAGACGTCGTGCCTCTCGTGTTGCTTCTTGCTCTTGAATAGATCCTCGTAAGCGTACTGGGAGTGGTGGCGCAGGGTGGTAGGTGGTCACGAAGATCGTGCCGAAGAATATGAGGCTAAGAAGAGCAAGAGCTGACCACACGAGAGTGCGGCCAGCTCCGCTACCAAGTCGAAAGTGAGCCTGGTAACTCAAATAGCATCCGATTCCATGATAGACATCGGATGGCAAATCGCGTCCATCGCTCTGCTGTGATAGTACAATATGAGGGGTGGACGGATAAGATAGGATAAGATCGATGTAATGATCTTTCCAGCACATAGCGAACACTCGCGGTGTCCGGGCAAATAGCGAATACCATCAGGTATCCGGGCAAATAGCGAATACCATCAGGTATCCGGGCAAATAGCGAATACCATCAGGTATCCGGGCAAATAGGGCGCGCGTGCCTTGAGCCCAAGGCAGCGGCGCGCGAGCTATGCTCCCGATACTGTGACATCTCCCAAATAGCTACCCTTAAAGTCTGCCATCGGCAAGGACCCTACACAACATGTGCACTGTTTGTACCACATCTGCACCAACTAATCCCACCAGCCCTTTAGGGCGTAGGTGGTCTAGAGCGTTTCCTCTGCCAACCCCCTTCTTTCCCTTCGGGGAGGGGTTACCCCTCCCCTTACCCCTCCCTACCGACCTGGACGAGGGGTTCCGCGGGTCGTTGGGACGTCCAAGATGGCCCAAGACGGCTCCAAGAGCGAAAAAGCGAAAAAGCACAAAACATTGATTACCCTTGGGTTTTGGAAGGGGTTTGGCCTCTTGGGGGGGCCCAGGAGGCGATTCGAGGCACTCTAGAGGGACAAGGCTAGTATACGACCCCCCCTTCTTTGATAGATCTCCTCCAACATGGCCCCAAGAGCGCCCCGAAGGCCCCCAAGAGCGCCCCAAGAGCGCCCCAAGAGGGCCCCAAGAGGCCCCAAGAGGTCCCCAAGAGGCCTTCAAGAAGCTCCCAAGAGACCCACAAGAGGCCCCAAGAGGCTCTCAAGATGGCCCAAGACGGCTCCAAGAGCGAAGAAGCGAAAAAGCACTAAACATTGACTTTCTCTAGGTTTTGGAAGGATTTTGGGTTCAAGAAGGGCCCAAGAGGCGATTCGAGGCACTCTAGACGGGCAGCGCTACTATACGACCCCCCCTTCTGTGATAGATCTCCTCCAACATGGCCCCAAGAGCGCCCCGAAGGTTCCCAAGAGCGCCCCAAGAGCGCCCCAAGAGGGCCCCGAGAGGCCCCAAGAGGCCCCCAAGAGGCCTCCAAGAGGCTCCCAAGAGACCCCCCAGAGGCCCCAAGAGGCTCTCAGGATGGCACAAGACGGCTCCAAGAGCGAAAATCCGCAAAAGCACACAACATTGATTTTCTATAGGTTTTGGAAGGATGTTGGCCTCAAGAAGGGCCTCCAGGAGAGCGATTTTTTCGTGGCTCCTTGCTATAGCCCTACCCACCCCTTCCTCACTTCCATCCCCTTAGGCCCTTATCCTAGAGGGCAGCGTTAATATACGACAGCTCAGCTCTTCTTTTGATAGATCTCCTCCAAAATGGCCCAACGAGCGCCCCGATGGGCTATACCGCCATCCCCCGCCCGTTGATCTTCCTCACTCCATCTCCCCCTCTCCTACCCAACCATGGCCCACACTCCTCCACTTCCCCCACTCTCCCTTGCCCTTCGCCCCTTCTCCAAGAACGCCCCAAGAGGGCCTAAAAGAGGCCACCAAGAGGCCCCCAATTGGCCTCCAAGAAGCCCCCAAAAAGACCCCTAAGAGGCCATACAGGAGGCTTCCCCGATGTATCCATGATGCCCCCGGGACCGCCAAAGAGGACCCAGAGGACCAAAAGACGGCCCAAGGCCCCAAAACTCGCCATTGTCCTCCACCTCCATCCTTCTCCTCCATCCTCCTCCTCCTCCTCCTCCTCCTCCTCCTCCTCCTCCTCCTCATTTTCCTCCTCCTCCTCCTCCTCCTCCTCCTCCTCCTCCTCCTCCTCCTCTTTTTCTTCCTCTTCCCTCCTCCCCCTCCCCTCCTCCTCCTTCTCCTCGTCCTCCTCCTCCTCCTCCTCCTCCTTCTCCTTTGCCTCCTTCTCGTCCTCCTCATCCTCGCAGTCCTCCATCAACTCCTCCTCATCTTCCTCCTCCTCCTCCTCTTCCTTTTCCTCTTCCTCCTCCCCCCCTCCTGCTCCTTTTCCTCCTCCTGCTCCTCCTCTTCCCCCTCCTACTCCGACGACGACGGTTCCTCCTACATCCTCCCCCTCTTGGGGCATATGGCGGCTCACCCCGCACTTTGTTCTTCTGCATGCTCCCCCGCTTCCCGCATAACCTCCACTCTGGGACTCATTTCTGGACAGGCTGGTGGGAGACTTTTTAAGTCAGCGGTCGCGGGCGAGCGCGCCAGCGGCGAGTCAGGTCAAAGCGGGCCACGCAGCGACGAATTAGACTAGCTAGTGCGGATCCTTTTTAGACAGCGGCCGCGGACGAGCGCGCCGGCGGCGTGTCAAAGTTGGTGGGGATATTTTTGTTTGATTCGCGGCCCGCAAGGAAAAGTCCAGAGGGCGGTGTGAACGAGGCTGGGGCACAGCGCACGGGAAAGCAGATAATTAACGGCGCTGGACAAACGCCGGCCGAAGAGGCAACCACGAAGGCGCCACCACGCGACCACCAAAAGCCGCTGAGCGTGTGCCAGCAGAAGGGGGTGGAAAAATTAATGCAGACAGTTGGCGACGCTGGCACTGCGCCAGCAGAACAGGCAGCCGAGAAGGCACCAGCAGATAATTAACGACGCTGGACATGTGCCAGCAAAAGAGGCAACTGTGAAGAAACCAGCTGAAGCCTTGGCGCCACCGCGCGGACCCCAAAAGCCGCTGAGCGTGTGCCAGCAGAAGTGAGGAGGGCGGAAAAGGACCCGCAGGTGGGGTCAGACTGCCAGGCGGAACGAGCCAAAACCACTCACTTCCCACTTGGAACGTGGGCAAGTTGGTACGCCGCTGAGGGGGTTCGGGTCAATGCCTGGAGAAAGCCGACCACAGGAGAGAGCGCTGGTGGGGATACGCGAAGCGTCTAGAATTAGTTTCCAACTCACAGTTTGTACCACATGTGTTGCAGCACAATCTTGCACAGCGTAAGATGCAACCCATGGATTGTACAACACTGACTGCACCACATGGACTGCACCTCCAGACGCCGCACCAAATAGGGCGCATATCGAAAGAGCATGAACCCACTGGTCCACGTTGGTAAATGTGTGCCTGCTCAGGGGTGGACAGAGCCCCTATGTAGCAACACACCCTTTAGAGAAAACGACCGAGGACAAGACTCAGCGGATGCAGGCCCGAAAAAAGTGCGGCGCAACGCCATCTCGAGAACCGAAAATGGCAACTCGCTAAGCTAGTTGGCAGGGTGAGGGTTCTGTCAATCTCCGACTGGTTAGGCCTCCGGTCCTGGCCCCCTTGGCCTCGAGGTTCTTCCCCATGTCGGTGATCTCCTGGAACCAGTTGGGCCCAGCGAAAGCCGGCGGCTCGGCGGTGATCTTCATGTCGAGGACGCCGGGCCTGCGCAACTCCTCGATGATGTCCCAGTAGCCCGTGATGCCGTTCACCTCCGTGATGATGCACCCCGGGCGCAAAGGCTGGGTCTCCTGGGACCTTGGGCGGCGCGCCAGGGGGGGGGGGAGGCCAGAGGGTGCGGGCCTTCTCGGAAGGCGGCGGGGCTTCTCAGAGGCCATCAGGCCTTCTGAGGAACCATCCGTGGCTTCGAAAGCTCAGAAAGCGTTTCAAAAAGCTGAGAAGGCCCACCCCCTCTGCCTCCCCCCTCGGCGAGCTGCCGAGAGACCTGTTCCACACGTCGAGCAGCCCATTCTTCTGGATATTGAAGATGACCGCGCCCTTGTCCGTGTTCCCCAGGCCCGCGCCCAGAACATCGCCCTGGCGCTTCATGAGCTGCGCGTGCCACTGCAGCGGCACCACCTTCGTCGCAGGCGCGCCCGTTGTCCTGCCGCCGCGCTGCCCATCGTTGCAGGGCACCTCCGCGGTGTCTCGATCGATCGTGAGGACCGCCGAGCTGGAGCTGCAGCCCATGTCTCTCAAAACAATGGCGGCGAGAGGAGGCACGCGAAAAAAAACACGCAGGGTGACCTCTGCCGCGAGGGTGCCGCGGCTTGAGCT